AAAACAAGAAGACCCATCAGAAATAAGGAAAGATGACAAAACCTGCACTTATACATATGAACGTACTGGTTCAATTTTTGGGGGTTGTACCAACTCCTTGTGTTAAAGAATTTTTCTTTCACTGTTGCAAATTTGATGCATTAAACTTTTAATAAATTAAATTCCTTTAGGTTATACCATAATAAATAACCTTCCCAGGAACATTGCTCACAAGTTTGGTGCGGTGTTTTTATAGAAGAAATAAAGAGTAGACACCCCTGCAGACCATACATATTATTAAATGTGTGGTATTTACATTTATTTATGAGAGGTTAGTCTGAAATTATCTATCTGTCAGTACTTGGCTAACCTCTACAAGTACTGACACTTACCTGCAGAATTAATAAATAGAAGAAAAAAACATGCCTGTTTTAACAGGTTCAATTCCTGGTTTGAAATATATTTGCATGGATAGGTGTCAAAAGGGTGATGTCAGATGTCTTTTAATATTTAAAAAAAGTTGGGTATGCTCGTCCTCCAGCCATCATAACTTGAAAAACATTTATTGCAGTGTTGATAGCATTGTCTGCCGCTGTTTGGACAATAGATAACAAATTATTGTTGATCTCCTTCTCACATAAAAATTCTATACATTTAACATTGAACTTATCTTCAACATCTCCAACAGTTTAAGTTCCTGTCAACAATAAAACCGTCACCTTGTTGAATTTTAGTCTTGCAAGTCACCGTTACTTTGTATGTTTTTGCAGGTTGTTTACTATGGTACAGATCAAACACATCGGTATCAATTATTAATTTGCTTGGTAACGTTGTCATAATAGATTTTGTAAGCATGTGGTCGCATTTTTTTTAACTTTAATGCGACCACGCTTGCTGCCTCAGCCTGTTGGGCCATGCAGGTTACAATACACCATTAGATTTTATGGGCGCAGCCATTTTATGAGCATAACATGGTATTCAGAATTAAGAGTATAGCTAATCCTGATTGGTTGATATGTGCGCCCGTTATTTTTTGTTATTAGAGACTTCGTGCATTCTGCATTATACCAAAGGCCAAATAAATTATTTTCCTTAGCCCTAACGGAACTGAGATGTCTTTTAAACGCTAGGATGAGACACGTACTTTTAAGTGCAAAATTGATAGGCATGGGAGATAAGTACAAATTACGCTAAGAAAAGCAACGCGAACCTATATTTTTTGGACCAAAAAATACTGTCCTAATAACTTTTCTTTAATTCTAGCAAGGTTTTGTTAAAAAAATCAACTTTCTGAAGTCTGTATCTCGAAAAAGGCTATCATTGTCGCCTATGGGGAAATTAATTGTTTATTTCAATCTGCAGGCTGCCATTGAGATCTAGATCGTAAAAACGCTTCAATATCGAGTACGCGATTTTAAAATTAAAGCGCTCAGATGATCACGCTCCTACTTTCACTTTTGTTTTAAACTGAAAGTAGGTATTTCCGGCTTTGTACTTTCACTTTCGATTTCATTTTTGAATAAAATGACATAGGGACGCCACCTCAAAATAGGGACGGTCGGGTAACCGTAAACAGACATATATTTTTTTTTGGCCTTACACATGTACACATTCAAGTTTAGAACTCGATGATTGGCGCCATAGAAAATGGAGTTAATCCTGCTGTTCATGTTTGTCTGTTGGCAGAAAATTGGTTTAATTCATATTGCTCTAAAGAAATGCTTGAAAACAAACAGAACGTAAATTAATCTATAGTTCGCATAAGGTCAAGCAATACGTCATTGGAATGTGACTGCAATACACATTCTGAGGTCACGCAGGTTCATACAACACTCGTCAACAGCAATACACAAACGTAGTCCAGTAGTGGGCGGAGCTTTAAAGCGATATCTGTATAGTATACAGATACAGCCTAGCAATATCTGTTGGGCTGTAAATGTATGATAAGACACCCAATTGCAGGGTAAAGGTAAATATTAATATTAATCGAAACAAAATGCTACTAGTACATTATTTAGATACAGAAAAACTAGGATTGTATATTGCACTTTTGGTGGTGTTGCAAAATCTGTCTTAAGATATTTTGAAATAATACTATAAACATGAGTCGAGGAAAGCAGTGTGAAATTTATTTGAATATCAATTGAGTTCAATTCAAGTAGCATTGAATACTCTTCCAAAGCACAGGTCTATTTTGATGCCCCCGCCGTAGCAGAGGGGGCATTAAGTTTTACCCTTGTCCGTCTGTACGTACGTACGTCCCAAAATTGGTTTCCGTTCTCTAACTTTAGTTTGCCTCAACCAAATGTTATGAAACTTATACACAATGCTTATTACCACAAAACACAGATCAAGTTTGAATTTTGGTGGCGTCACTTTTACCGTTTTAGAGTTATGCCCCTTTACAAATGGAAAAATTGCTGAATTTTTCGTTTCCGTTCTCTAATTTTAGTTTGCCTCAACCAAATGTTATGAAACTTATACACAATGCTTATTACCACAAAACACAGATCTAGTTTGAATTTTAGTGGCGTCACTTTAACCGTTCTAGAGTTATGCACCTTTAGAAATGGAAAGATTGCAAAATTTTTATTTTCTTCGAAATATCACGTAATTTTTAAATTTGGAGTTATCTTCCTTTGTCCATGATTATAGTTGAATCAACTACAATCAATGCTTTATACAATGCAATGTTTAATTTTGACTTCCACTGATAAAACACAGATCAAGTTGAATTTGGGTAGTGTCACTTTAACCATTATTGAGTTATGCCCCTTTATAAATCGAAAGATTGCAAAATTTTTAGTTTCCATTCTGTAACTTAAGTTTGCCCATAATACAGATTAAGTACGAAATTTGGTGGCAACACTTTTACCATTCTTGAGTTATGTCCCTTTATAAACATAAAAATTGCTGAATTTTTCGTTTCCGTTCTCTAACTTTAGTTTGTCCCAACCAAATGTTATAAAACTTATACACAACCGTTCTAGAGTTATGCGTGTTTACAAATAGAAAAATTACTGAATTTTTAGTTTCTGTTCTCTACTTAAGTTAGCCTCAACCAAATGTTATGAGACTTACATACAATGCGTATTACCACAAAACTCAGATCAAGTTCAAATTTGGGTAGCGTCACTTTTACCGTTCTTCAGTTATGTCCCTTTATAACTATATGATATGGAAGCAGGGGCATCATCTGTGTCCACATGTGGACACTCTCAACATTTATTTTCATTGATATATGCTCCCATATGGATGCAGTCTATTGTTATGAGTTCTTGTGATATACTAAAGTCTTCATTGTTTCTTCTTTGGTTTACTTTTTCGGAAAATAATGATCTTTTGAGATTTTAAGATTAAAATCTTGTACCAAATCCTATAAAATTCTAAAAACAAAAGGTTGATTTTTCAACAACATCAAATACAATTCATATTAAATTCAAATATTAAACAGATCATTGGGTATAATTCAATGAGACAACAGTTTCCAACTATCAATGAGCATGCAGGTGTTAACACTATATGGTCCGAGGACACAGTTATCGTCCTTAGATTTTTGTTGTCTACAAATATAGTCCCTAGTGTGGACAGTGTATAACTTGCAAATTTTTTTCATACACTTTCCAAATTTATTTCTTTATATTTTATGCATGAAATATTAAGTAAGGGGATGAAATTACATGTTAAAAAAATTGGGTGCTGAATCTTTATGTAAAGTAGTGATTTGGTCCAGTTAAAAAAGGTCAAAAACTAGTATGCCTGAAGCTGTCAAACTGAATTTTAGACCCCCTTAACATAGAATTGTCAATATTTTGAGTTAGAGCTGTTAGACTTTTCTATAATTTTGATATTATTTGTCCCAATAGTAGTACACTACACTGTAAAAATCTTTTTGGGATAGAGCAGGTGCGATTTTTATACGCCCGTTTACGGGACGTATTATGGTATACCGTTGTCCGTATGTCCGTCCGTCCGTCGTCTACATGTCGGACATTAACACAAAAACGCTTTAACCAATTTGCATAAAACTTTGGTGAATTGTTTATATCTATTGACGTAAGCTCCCTTTCGTTTTTTATAAATTTTAGATTTTACGTTTCCGAGTTACAGGGTTTTATTCATAAAAAAATGGGGATTTTCCAGTTTTCGGACAAAAAATCAAAAATGCTTTCAGCAGTTTGTATGAAACTTTGGTGAATGGGTTATATCTATTGATGTAAGCTCCGTTTAGAATTTTATAAATTTTACATTTTACACTTCTGAGTTATGGGGTTTTATTCATTTAAAAAGGGGTGATTTTCCAGTTTTTGGACAATAACTCAAAAATGCTGTCAGCAATTCTCATGAAACTTTGGTGAATTGTTTATATCTATTGATGTAAGCTCCCTTTACATTTTCATAAATTTCTAATATGACATTGAGAATTAATTGAACTTTATAGTCTGACAACAGATTTACTAAGTATTGCGCAACAGCACAGTGTATTGCACAACAGCAAGAAATCTTTAATTGAATATAAACTCAATTGACATAACCAATTTCAAGTTCTTTGACGACATTTATTCAGAAACCTATAATATGTCAAATATTTAATACAATCCAAATTCAGACCTGTATCAAGCTTGAATATTGTGTCCATTTTTGCCCCAAATGTTCAGGGTTGGACCTCTGCGGGTGTATCCACTGCTGCGCTCAGCGAAGCAGTTTATTTAGATTTGACCTTATTGTCTGAAAGAAATGATTGTGTTCTCGAGCCATAAATAAAGAAATTATAGAATGCTTTCATTGCTCTATGTTGGATCCCCAGAATTTACTTTTTTCCAAAATCATCAATTTTAATTTTTTATACGACCGCAAAAAAATTTTGTGGTCGTATATTGGTATGACGTTGGCGTCGTCGTCGTCCGGCGTCGTCGTCCGAAGACACATTGGTTTTCGCACTCTAACTTTAGTTTAAGTGAATGGATCTTTTTGAAATTTGACCATAAGGTTAAATACCACAAAAGGAAGGTTGGGATTGATTTTGGGGTTTATGGTACCAACAGTTAAGGAATTAGGGGCCAAAAAGGGCCCAAAAATAAGCATTTTCTAGTTTCCAGACAATAACTGTGGAACAGTGTATGGATCTCTCTGAAATTATACTACAAGTTTCCATACCACAAAGGGATGGTTAGGATTTGCTTTGGGGGGTTATGGCTCAAACCGTTTAGGAATTAGGGGCAAAAAAGGGAAAAAAAAAGGTTGTCCTGGTTAATGGACAAATACTTTAGTTCAAAACATAATTTAAAGCAGTGTAAGGGAGATAAATCAAATACATCATTGAAATTATCTCCCTTACACTGCTTTTAAATTATGTATAAAGTAATGGTTAATGAACAATAAAGATAATTTAAAACAGTGTAAGGGAGGTAATCCAAATACAACGTTTTGGTTACTTCCCTTACACTGCTTTTAAATTATGTGTAAAGAAATGCATATTTATAAAGGAAGACCAGTAAAAATATCTGCAAATGTTGCATCTTTTTTTTTTTACAAAAAAATCCATTTGAAGGTCCAAAGGGTCCAAAATTAAACTTTGTTTGATTTTAGCAAAAATTGAATATATGAGGTTCTTTGATATGCTGAATCTAAACATGTATTTAGATTTTTGATTTTTGGCCCAGTTTTCAAGTTGGTCCAAATTGGGGTCCAAAATTAAACTTTGTTTGATTTCAACAAAAATTGAATATATGGGGTTCTTTGATATGCTGAATCTAACCATGTATTTAGATTTTTTATTTGTGGACCCCGTTATCAAATTGGTTCATATTGAGGTCAAAAGGGTCCAAAATTAAACTTTGTTTGATTTCATCTAAAATTGAATTATTGGGGTTCTTTGATATTCCAAATCTAACCGTGTATTTAGATTTTTAATTTTGGGTCCTGTTTTTTAAATTGGTCTACATTAAGGTCCAAAGGGTCCAAAATTAAACTTAGTTTGATTTTAACAAAAATTGAATTCTTGGGGTTCTTTGATATACTGAATCTAAACATGTGTTTAGATTTTTGATTATGGGCCCAGTTTTCAAGTTGGTCCAAGATAGGGTCCAGTATTTAAAGTTTGTTTGATTTCAACAAAAATTGAATATATGGGGTTCTTTGATATGCTGAATCTAAACATGTATTTAGATTTTTGATTATGGGCCCAGTTTTCAAGTTGGTCCAAATTGGGGTCCAAAATTAAACTTTGTTTGATTTCAACAAAAATTGAATATATGAGGTTCATTGATATGCTGAATCTAACCATGTATTTAGATTTTTTATTTGTAGGCCCCGCTTTCAAATTGGTTCATATTGAGGTCAAAAGGGTCCAAAATTAAACTTTGTTTGCTTTCATCAGAAATTGAATTATTGGGGTTCTTTGATATGCCAAATCTTACCGTGTTTTTAGATTTTTAATTTGGGTCCCGTTTTTTAAATTGGTCTTCATTGAGGTCCAAAGGGCCCAAAATTAAACTTAGTTTGATTTTAACAAAAATTGAATTCTTGGGGTTCTTTGATATGCTGAATCTAAACATGTGTTTAGATTTTTGATTATGGGCCCAGTTTTCAAGTTGGTCCAAGTTGGGGTCCAAAATTAAACTTTGTTTGATTTCAACAAAAATTGAATATATGGGGTTCTTTGATATGCTGAATCTAACCATGAATTTAGATTTTTTATTTGTGGGCCCCGCTATCAAATTGGTTCATATTGAGGTCAAAAGGGTCCAAAATTAAACTTTGTTTGATTTCATCAAAAATTGAATTATTGGGGTTCTTTGATATTCCAAATCTAACCGTGTATTTAGATTTTTAATTTTAAGTCCCGTTTTTTAAATTGGTCTACATTAAGGTCCAAAGGGTCCAAAATTAAACTTAGTTTGATTTTAGCAAAAATTGAATTCTTGGGGTTCTTTGATATGCTGAATCTAAACATGTGTTTAGATTTTCGATTATGGGCCCAGTTTTCAAGTTTGTCCATGTTGGGGTCCAAAATTAAACTTTGTTTGATTTTAACAAAAATTGAATATATGGGGTTCTTTGATATGCTGAATCTAACCATGTATTTTGATTTTGGACATTGGACCATAATAGGTAAATTAAAAAAAATTCAAATTCTTAGACCACATTCTTTCTGTGTCAGAAACCTATGCTGTGTCAAATATTTAATAACAATCCAAATTCAGAGCTGTATCAAGCTTGAATGTTGTGTCCATACTTGCCCCAACTGTTCAGGGTTCGACCTCTGGGTCGTATCAAGCTGTGCCCCAGCGAAGCATTTTATTTTATGGGGGTTTGTATTTTTTATTATTTTTTGCTGGGGGTAGGGGTTGGGGATTTTTTTTTTAATATGATGGGTCATTTGAAAATGAGTTATAAATTTGATGGGTCTTGGGGAAATATATTTTTTTTTCATGGGTGGTTGGTAAATTTAAAAGGTGCCTTTTAATTAAGAATTTAATACCGGGTATGCTGAATTAAACTGTATTTAGATATTGGGGCCCCATTTTTTAAATTTGTCCACATTGAGGTCCGAAGTTTCCAAAAGTAAAACTTTGGTTGATTTCATAAAAAATTGAATAATTGGGGTTCGTTAATATGCAGAATATTACAGTGTATTTAGATTTTAAATGTTGGGCGCTGTTTTGAAATTGGTCCACATTAAGGTCTAAAGGAACCAAAATTAAACTTGGTTTGATTTCAGCAAAAATTGAATTGAATGTCATGGTCCATATCTAATGTTAGAGTACTACATTTTGTATGTTAAACCATATTTCTGTACAAAGAGAGATAACTCATTTTTTTAAAGACATTCTTTGGTTAAATGTTTGAAGTGTTTTTTATTTTACTAATTTTCTGAATGCTATATACATAAAAAAAAATTATGAAGTGAAATCTTTTAATAAGATAATAATCTATTTTTATTAGCTCACCTGGTCCGTCGTCTGTCGTCCGTTGTCTGTTAACTTTTACAAAAATCTTCTCCTCTGAAACTACTAAGACAAATTTAACCAAACTTGTCCACAATCATCATTAGGGTATCTAGTTTAAAAAATGTGTCCGATGACCTTGCCCGTGAACCAAGATGGCCGACATGGCTAAAAAATAGTACATAGGTTAAAATGCAGTTTTTGGCTCATATCTCTGAAACCAAAGCATTTAGAGCAAATCTGACGAGGATAAAATTGTTCATTAGGTCAAGATCTATCTGCCCTGAAATTTTCAGACCAATCAGGCAACACGTTGTTGGGTTGCTTTCCCTGAAGTGGTAATTTTAAGAAAATTTTGCAGCTTTTGGTTATTATCTTGAATATTATCATTGAAAGAGATAAACTGTAAACAGCAATAATGTACAGCAAAGTAAGATCTACAAATAAGTCAACATGACCAAAATTGTCAATTGACCCCTTAAGGAGTTATTGCCCTTTATAGTCAATTTTTTACAATTTTCATAAATTTTTACAAAATATTTTCCACTGAAACTACTGGGCCAAGTTCATTATAGATAGAGATAATTGTAAGCAGCAAGAATGTTCAGTAAATTAAGATCTACAAACACATCACCATCACCAAAACACAATTTTGTCATGAATCCATCTGTGTCCTTTGTTTAATATGCACATAGACCAAGTTGAGCGACACAGGCTCTTTAGAGCCTCTAGTTAAGGTATATATTTCATTACATTACATTGTGTATAGATAAAAGTTGTTGACATTTTATAGATAAGTTACAAATCTATATTAGTTTGTGACAAATGAAAGAGAAAATATTTGAAACTATTAATTATATTTGATTATAACTTGAAAATAAATATACATTGTATTACATCATATATAATTTTAGAGAACTATTAATCACATCTAATGTTAGAGTGTTTTCCACACTTTTTATACGACCGCAAAAAATTTTTTGTTGTCGTATATTGGTATGACGTTGGCGTCCTCATCGTCGTCGTTGTCCTCGTCCGGCGTCGTCGTCCGAAGACACATTAGTTTTCACACTCTAACTTTAGTTTAAGTGAATGGATCTCAATGACATTTCACCATTAGGTTCAATACCACAAAAGGAAGGTGGGGATTGATTTTGGGGGTTATGGTATCAACAGTAAAGGATTTAGGGGCAAAAAATAAGCATTTTTGTAACTTCCAGACATAACTTGTGTGTAAGTGTATGGATCTCTCTGACATTGTACCACAAGGTTCCATATCACAAAGGGAATGCAGGGATTGATTTTGGGGGTAATTGCCTCCAAATTTTAGGAATTAGGGGCCAAAAAGGGGCAAAAAACAAGCATTTTTCTAGTTTCATGACAATAACTTGTGTGTTAGTGTATGGATCTCTCTGACATTGTACCACAAGGTTCCATATCACAAAGGGAATGCTGGGATTGATTTTGGGGGTAATTGCCTCCAAATTTTAGGAATTAGGGGCAAAAAAGGGGCAAAAAACAAGCATTTTTCTAGTTTCATGACAATAACTTGTGTGTAAGAGTATGGATCTTTATGAAATTGTACTACAAGGTTCCATATCACAAAGGGAAAGCTGGAATTGAGTTTGGGGGTAATTGACCAAAAGCTTAGGAAGAAGGGGCCAAAAAGGGGCCAAAAATAAGCATTTTTCTAGTTTCCAGGCAATAATTTGTGTTCAAGTACTGCAAGGTACCATACCACAAAGGGAAGGCTGGGGTTGATTTTGGGGGTAATTCCCTGAAAATTTTAGGAATTAGGGGCCATAAACGGGCAAAAAAACAAGCATTTTTCTAATTTCAGGACAATAACTTGTGTGTAAGTGTATGGATCTTTATGAAATTGTACTGCAAGGTTCCATATCACAAAGGGAAAGCTGGGTTTGAGTTTGGGGGTAATTGCCCTAAACGTTTAGGAATTTGGGGCCAAAAGGGGCCAAAAAAACAAGCATTTTTGTCGAGCCTTCGACTTTAGTCGAAAAAGCGAGACATAGCGATCCTACATTCCGTCGGCGTCGTCGTTATCGTCGGCGGCGTCCACAAATATTCACTCTGTGGTTAAAGTTTTTGAAATTTTAATAACTTTCTTAAACTATCCTAGATTTCTACCAAACTTGAACAGAAGCTTGTTTATGATCATAAGATAGTATCCAGAAGTAAATTTTGTAAAAATAAAATTCCATTTTTTCCGTATTTTACTTATAAATGGACTTAGTTTTTCTGCCGGGAAATATTACATTCACTCTGTGGTTAAAGTTTTTAAAATTTTAATAACTTTCTTCAGCTATCCTGGGTTTGTACCAAACTTTGACAGAAGCTTGTTTGTGATCATAAGATAGTATCCAGAAGTAAATTTTGTAAAAAAATAAATCCATTTTTTCCTTATTTTACTTTTAAATGGACTTGGATTTTCTGCCAGGAAACAACGCATTCACTCTGTGGTTAAAGTTTTTAAAATTTTAATAACTTTCTTCTACTATTTTGGATTTGTACCAAACTTGGACAGAAGCTTGTTTATGATCAAATGCTAATATCTAGAAGGAAATTTTGTTTTCTTCCAGTTAACATTACATTCAGTCTGCAGTTAAAGTTTTTAAACATTTATTAGATTCATAAACTATCCTGGATTTTTACCAAACTTGGACAGAAGCTTCTTGCAATCAAAAGATAGTATCAAGTGGAATATTTTTATTGATTTACTTCCTCATTTTTGTTGAGCCTGCGATTTACAGAAAAAGTAGGCGAGACACTGGGTTCCGCGGAACCCTTACGAATTTTTCTAGTTTCCAGACAATAACTTGTGTTCAAGTGTATGGATCTCTCTGAAATTGTACTGCAAGGTACCATACCACAAAGGGAAGCCTGGGATTGAGTCTGGGGGTGGTGAATCATAAGGGGGTTCAAAAAATTTGGGGAGGGATTTTTTTTTCCTTTTTTTATCTTTAGAATTTTCCATTTTAAATTGGTTATTTCTGATTTATATATAAAAGCAAATAATAATGATATGGTTTGAATAGGTAAATTAACAATTTTTAAGTTCTTAGACCACTTTCATTCTGTGTCAGAAACCTATGCTGTGTCAAATATTTAATTACAATCCAAATTCAGTTCTGTATCAAGCTTGAATGTTGTGTCCATACTTGCCCCAACTGTTCAGGGTTCGACCTCTGCGGTCGTATCAAGCTGCGCCCCAGCGAAGCATTTTATTTTCATTATGCTTGAAGATATTGATTGATATTTGGTATACAGTTTTATCATGACAAGTTACAGATCAAGCTCAAATTTTTGTACCGGTCTGATAATTTTGTGCAGAGTTGTGGTCCTTGGACTTGAAAAATTCACTCATATAATCAGTTTTCCACTCTGTTTTTATACGGCCGCAAAAAAAATTTTGTGGTCGTATATTGGTATGACGGTTGGCGTCGTCGTCGTCCGTCATTGTCATCTTCCGAAGACACATTGGTTTTCGCACTCTAACTTTAGTTTAAGTGAATGGATCTCTATGATATTTTACTATAAGGTTTGATACCACAAAAGGAAGGTTGAGATTGATTTTGGGGGTTATGGTACCAACAGTTGAGGAATAAGGGGCCAAAAAGGGGCCAAAAATAAGCATTTTTGTAACTTCCAGACATAAATTGTGTGTTAGTGTATGGATCTCTCTGACATTGTACCACAAGGTTCCATATCACAAAGGGAATGCTGGGATTGATTTTGGGGGTAATTGCCTCAAAATTTTAGGAATTAGGGGCCAAAAAAGGGGCAAAAAACAAGCATTTTTCTAGTTTTATGACAATAACTTGTGTGGTAGTGTATGGATCTTTCTGAAATTGTACTACAAGGTTCCATATCACAAAGGGAAAGCTGGAATTGAGTTTGGGGGTAATTGCCCAAAACTTTAAGGAATAAGGGGCCAAAAAAGGGTAAAAAATAAGCAATTTTCTAGTTTCCAGACAATAACTTTGTGTTCAAGTGTATGGATCTCTCTGAAATTGTAATGCAAGGTATCTTACCTTAAAGGTAAGGGTGGGATTGATTTTGGGGGTAATTGCCTCAAAATTTAAGGAATTAGGGGCAAAAAAGAGGCAAAAAACAAGCATTTTTATAGTTTCAGGACAATAACTTGTGCGTAAGTGTATGGATCTTTATGAAATTGTACCATAAGGTTCCATTTCACAAAGGGAAAGCTGGAATTGAGTTTGGGGGTAATTGCCCAAAATGTTTAGGAATAAGAGGCCAAAAAGGGGCCAAAAATAAGCATTTTTATACGCCCGTTTACGGGACGTATTATGGTATACTGTTGTCCGTCCGTCCGTCTGTCCGTCTGTCGTCAACATGTCGGACATTAAATCAAAAACGCTTTAACCAATTTGCATAAAACTTTGGTGAATTGTTTATATCTATTGACGTGAGCTCCCTTTCGTTTTTTATAAATTTTAGATTTTACGTTTCTGAGTAATGGGGTTTTATTCATTAAAAAAAGGGGGATTTTCCAGTTTTCGGACAATAACTCAAGAATGCCTTCACCAATTTGCAAGAAATTTTGGTTAATTGTTTATATCTATTGACATGAGCTCCCTTTTGATTTTCATAACTTTTAGATTTTACGTTTCCAAGTTACAGGGTTTTATTCATAAAAAAAAGGGGGATTTTCCAGTTTTCGGACAATAACTCAAAAATGCTTTCAGCAGTTCTCATGAAACTTTGATGAATTGTTGATATCTATTGATGTAAGCTTCCTTTAGAATTTTATAAATTTTAGATTTTACATTTCCGAGTTATGGGGTTTTATTCATTAAAAAAGGGGGGATTTTCCAGTTTTCAGACAATAACTCAAGAATGCTTTCACCACCTTGCAAGAAATTTTGGTTAATTGTTTATATCTATTGACATGAGCTCCCTTTTGATTTTTATAAATTTTAGATTTTACGTTTCCAAGTTACGGGGTTTTATTCATAAAAAAAAGGGGGATTTTCCAGTTTTCGAACAATAACTCAAAAATGCTTTCAGCAATTCTTATGAAACTTTGGTGAATTGATTATATCTATTGATGCAAGCTCCCTTTAGAATTTTATAAATTTTATTTGTTTATAGTCTGACAACAGATTTACTAAGTATTGCGCAACAGCATAGTGTATTGCACAACAGCAAGAAATCTTTAATTGAATATAAAATTCAATTCATATAACCAATTTCAAGTTCTTTGACTACATTTATTCAGAAACCTATAATATGTCAAATATTTAATTACAATCCAAATTCAGACCTGTATCAAGCTTGAATATTGTGTCCATTTTTGCCCCAACTGTTCAGGGTTGGACCTCTGCGGGCGTATCCAGCTGTGCTCAGCGAAGCAGTTTATTCTAGTTTCCAGACAATAACTTGTGTTCAAGTGTATGGATCTCTCTGAAATTGTACTGCAAGGTACCATACCACAAAGGGAAGGCTGTGATTGAAGTTGGTGGTAATTGCCTCAAAATTATAGGAATTAGGGGCCAAAAAGGGGCAAAAAACAAGCATTTTTCTAGTTTTCGGACAATAACTTGTGTGTAAGTGTATGGATCTTTATGAAATTGTACCACAAGGTTCCATATCACAAAGGGAAAGCTGGGTTTGAGTTTGGGGGTAATTGCCCTAAATGTTTAGGAATTTGAGGCCAAAAAGGGGCCAAAAAACAAGCATTTTTCTAGTTTCCAGACAATTACTTGTGTTCAAGTGTATGAATCTCTCTGAAATTGTACTGCAAGGTAACATACCACAAAGGGAAGGCTGGGATTGAGTTTGGGGGTGATGAATCATAAGGGGGTTCAAAAAATTTGGGTGGGGATTTTTTTCCCTTTATTTTTCTTTAAAATTTTCCATTTAAAATTGGTTATTTCTGATTTATATATAAAAGCAAATAATAATGATATGGTTTGAATAGGTAAATTAAAAAAATTTAAGTTCTTAGACCACATTCATTCTGTGTCAGAAACCTATGCTGTGTCAAATATTTAATCACAATCCAAATTCAGTGCTGTATCAAGCTTGAATGTTGTGTCCATACTTGCCCCAACTGTTCAGGGTTCGACCTCTGCGGTCGTATCAAGCTGCACCCAGAGGAGCATTTTATTTGTCATGCTTGAAGATATTGACTTGATATTTTCTTTTTGTTTACACCATGACAAGTTATAGGACAAGTTAGCATTTTTTCCAGTATAATGAATTTTTACCCGGTAGGGGACTATGTATTGCCATGCAATACTCTCAGATAATGCTTGTTATATTAGCAACATGTTTTCCCATTTTGTAGCATTCAATTGCTCCTTACATAAAGATATAATATGTTTTCCCTGCTATACCACTAAAGCACTGTGTAAATGGACTGACCCATATGGCAATCATATCACTTTTGAAAATTTTGTTTTCTGTGTCATTGAAAAACGATTAAATCTTTGATATTGTTAGCCTTTCATTAAAAGCAATATGTTTAATTATAATCAATCTGGACTACAAAATCACAAAATTATACAACCGCAAAAATAAAATTTTTTGCGGTCGTATAATGTTATGACTTTGTCGGCGTCTGGTGAAGACATTTAGTTTCCAGAATATAACTTGAGAATATGTGTATGGATCTCTATGAAATTGTACCACAAGGTTCCATGCCACAAAACGAAGTTTGGGGTTATTGTCCTAACTGTTTAGGAATCAGGGGCCAAAAACAAGCATTTTTCTTGTTGCAGGGCAATAACTTGTGTATAAGTGTATGGATCTCTATGAAATTGTACCACAAGGTTCCATACCTCAAAAGGGAGGTTGGAATTGATTTTGGGGTTTATGGCCCAAACCGTTTAGGAATTGGGGGGCCAAAAAACTAGGATGTTCATGTTTCCGGACAATAACTTGAGTAATAGTCTATGGATCTCTATGAAGTTGTACCACAAGGTTCCATACCATAAAAGGTAGGTTTGGATTGATTTGGGGTTATGGCCGAAACGTTTCGGAAGAAAGGGGCCAAAAAACAATACTTCTCTTACACTTTGTATAAATTGCTTATTTCTTGACCAATTTCAATGGGGTTTTAATTCAAAGTCTTGAATTCTTTGGGTTTTTTAATATGCTGAATCTAACAGTGTTATTTAGATTTTTGATTTTGGGCTCGGTTTTCAAACTGGTCTACATTAAGGTCCAAAGGGTCCAAAATTAAACTTAATTTGACGTTAACAAAAATTGAAGTCATGGGTTCTTTGATATGCTGAATCTAAACATGTATTTAGATTTTTGATTTTGGTCCCAGTTTTCATGTTGGTCCAAATCGGGGTCCAAAATAAAACTTGTTTGATTTCATCAAAAATTAAATATATGGGGTTCTTTGAAATGCTGAATCTAACTGTGTATTTAGATTTTGGATTTTGGGCCCCGTTATCACATTGGACTACATTGAGGTCTAAAGGGTCCAAAATTAATCTTTTTTTGTTTGATCTCATTAAAAATTGAATTCTTAGGGTTCTTTGATATGCTGAATCTAACCATTTATTTAGATTTTGGATATTGGACCATAATAGGTAAATGTCCAGTTTCAAATTTTTCAGTTCTTTGACCACATTCATTCTGTGTCAGAAACCTATGCTATGTCAAATATTTAATCACAATCCAAATTCAGAGCTGTATTGCACAATTAATAGAAATTGTTAATATATTCATAGATAAAAATAGATATAGCATAAAATTCTAATTTTAGAAATTATGTATAAATATGGTTTGAATATACTGTTCATTATTATATATTTTGAAAAATAATAAAAGGTAAGTTCTATTGATTTTTGAAAGACAATGTATTCCCATTCAGAAAAAATGATAGGATGGCCAACTGCATTGCTCAACTGGCCGCCAGTTGAGCAAACAGTTGAGGGCCAGTTGAGGGCTAGCTGGCCGTCAGTTAAGCAAATAATTGAGGGCCAGTTGAGAGCTACCTGGATTTTTGCCATGCAAATTAGGTAGCCCTCAACTATCAATTGCTCAACTTTATGCAAATTAGTTGAGCAAGCTTGAGCAAAATATCATAGTTGAGGGCTAGCTATATAGTTGCCCAACAGTTGAGCAATTAGAGTTGAGGGCTACCTGGCCAACAATTGAGGACCAAGTCATTAAAAGTTGAGGGCTAGGTGGCCAATAGTTGAGGGCCAGGTCATTAAAAGTTGAGGGCTAGGTGGCCAATAGTTGAGGGCCA